AGGCCAGTCTTTTTTTCCTCACAGAGAAATGGGCGTTTTTTCTTCCCTTTCGCAGCTCCACAGGAATAGTAAGGCAGGAGATCTTTGAGTCAGAATGGTGTCCTGGGTGGTCCCCTGGGGGAACGTCCTTCATGAGCTGCAGATGCAGGGGTAGAAGCTGTGCAAGCATTTCCTCTGTGAAGCTCATGATGTCTTTATGATGTACAATAATAATAGGAACGTTTCACACTGCCTGAATGGAAAGGGTGACTGACATGAGGCCCAACACGAGCTTGACGTTCAGTGTAAAGCAGGATGATGAGCGTGGCTCTGCTCCAGCTGACTCATTCTCCAGCTATCATCATTCCATAGGTGATACCCAGCTGCAGGGTGGCTTGTGATGGAAATGGGAATTTCAGGTGTCCCTACGCCTCCCTTCTAAGAGGAGGAGGTTTGAAAGGACTTGGCTGGGTCTTTAATTGTGTGCAGACCTTCCTCTTGTTTTTCTGCTCCCAGATTTCGGAAGGACTCTGCTGCTTTGCTTAAATCATGCAGATTTATTAAATTATCCTTGTCTTCACTCTGTCCATCCTGCAGGGCTGTCAGTGCCTGGCGGAGCATTGGTGGGGCACGAGGGAAAGGCTCCTTGAGACTCTCTGCAGTGCAGAGGTGTCAGCGATGGTGAGGGCCTGGCTCCCCCTCGGGCACAGGATGGGGGCTGTGCTGGGGGGGCACATGCTCCTTTGCAAAGGCTGGGTTCCTCTGTCAGGACAGTGGAAAATCTCTTCTGGCAAAAAAGCTCATTGGAAGCAGCAAGCTTGAGGTTTTATCAGGAGGGCAGAGAGCCTCCAGAGTGCCTCAGCCAGCACCTTCATTCCCGCTGCTCTGGGGACTCCTCAACAAGCTCTTTTGAATGGAGGTCAGCTGGGACACGGTGATGGCACAAAGCTCTACAAAATCCTCAGCTCTCATTTTGAGCTGATGAATCCAAAGACAGAAAACGCTGGGAGCTCTGGCAGTGAAGCCAATAAATCACTTGGGTTTTGAAAGTATGAGAGCAGGGACTTCTCAGCTGCTCTGGGGAAGGCTCCCCAGTGCCTGGTGAGCTGCTCCGTTCCAACTGCATCTGCAGCTTGCTCTGGAGCTGGGGCAGTGGCAGAAGAAATGGTGCTATAGAGTCACCGCCTCGGGCCATAGCCACCCCCTGGGGCTCCCCACAGCCCCCTTGGGATCTGCTCGTTCTCTTTGCATAGGCACCGCTGTGTCTGCCTGTGCCAGAGGTTGTGCCTCAGTGACCCTTGCCGTCACCCCAGCTGGCCGGTGTGCGCTGAGCCTGGGAGCCTGCCTGACGCGATGAAGTGGAAGCCCTCGCCCCTCCCGCTGCTTCCACCCCAGCCTTAATCATTGCCCTCACCCCTCTGTACTCACTTGCTCTGCTCTCAAACACACCGAGGCCGCAGATGGGCTTGCAGGACGCGCCGTCCCGGGGTCGGTGAGGACAGGACAGAGGCTCAGTGGCCATCCTCTGGCTGGGCTGTGCCTCCTTCAGCGGTGTCCCTGCCGCCGCTGCTGGGCGCCCTGCTCCCCAGGCACAGGCCTGTGGTGAGAAGCGTCACTCCTTTGGTTCTTTCCTCTCCCTTTTGGCCATTATGAGAAATGACATCTTAAATCTAATTAGGTTTTGCCCCCAGAGAAACTGGATTTGCGGCTCGGAGGAGCTTTCTGAGGTGGGTGTGCAGCTTTGAAACCGTGGAGGTGCTGCATAGGCGCTGCTTGGTTTTATGAGCAGTTTTCTTATGTGCGAGACCGAGGAGCCAAAAATAAAAGCATCTGTGGTCTCCAAAGGTGCTGCGAGAATTAATCAGCCCCCGCCCCACTGTCTGAGGCCAGGTTAACTGATGTGCAGAAAGGCGAGCTGTGGACGCGTCCCAGGCCGCCCCTGGCTCCTCCAGTCAGCCCCGGGCGGTCCCAGCACTCCCGGTGCTGAGACGGGCTGACGTAGGATTCCCGTGACGCTTTTGTCTCAGGGACGACCACGGGATTTACCTGAGCTACAAATGTCTGGTTGGGTAAAAGTGCTGACACAGCGCTGGAAGGTGGCCCCTGCAGCCCCCCTGGCTAAGCAGCCAGGGTCCCGAGGGACGGAGGGCATATGGCAATTCATGACGTGCCAGGCAGGCTTTTACAACTGAAGTCTGCTCATCCTACCGCTACCTCAGGCAGTGCTAGACCTGGCTGAACTGGGGGCAGCCAGGGGGGTCAGGTCTCTTGTGCCCATTCCCTCCACACGTAGGGACAGACGGGGCAGCATTATCCATCTCTCCACAAGTGGTATGAATCCAGACAGAGGATCCCAGCCTTGGGAAGGTGCCTTGTCCTCGTTGTTCCCAACCTGTGCCCTGGCTGTTGGGCTGTGAGTGCTGGTGCAGCCCTGCCACCAGGAGGAGGGGTGCTGCAAGCTGAAGGAGCACAGCTGAGTCATTGCACTTGATTCAGCCATGGCCTGCTTGACTTCTGCAGCCCTGAGGTGCCTGAAGTCTTCCCTGTTTATAGAGCGTCTGGCATGCAGAATGGGGCAAACTGGCGTTTGGCATCCGCTGGGTGCTGGGTGTGAGCTGTGGCACCAGTGGCTTCCCTGGGAGCTGCCCCAGGGTCCTGCATGCCCTGAGGGAGCTGCTCCTGCCCCATCCCCTGGGAGATGGTCAATGGGGACAGTCACATCTAGCTGGGCATCATGGGGCCAAGGACTGCACAGTGGCCTTGAGGTGGAACGTCTCCTCGGTGGCTTCATGTCTGTGCCTGTCCCAGAGCTTCGATGGCCCTGCTGCACCACGACCCCCGCATCATCGCTTGCCGGTCTCTCCTTGCCAGCTCAGGGCTGAGTTTGCTTCTCTGTCTGTGTGGGAGCTCCCAGCAATGCTCTGTTCTGCTTTGCTCATTGACAGAGCTGCTTCTCCCCAGGAAACTTTAATTTCTAGAGATGCCACGTAAGAGGCAGTTGTACTCTGGAGCTCTCTGGAGACATCGAGGCCCAGTTCTCATGATTTTCCAGTGTTGTGCCAAGTTTCAGGGCAGGGTTTTCCCCAGGTGTTTCTCCCTTTGTGGGCATCCTGCGCTGACTCGATCCCTTCATTCCCACTTGTGGCTGTGCAGCAGCGCTGCGCTGACATGGGCAGCACATCAGCCAAGTAGCCAGCACACTCCCATCTCATTTTATTGCTCTTGCAGAGCTAATGGCAGCCTTTCCAAAGCAGTAAGCCTCACCAGAAGACATCCTCTGGGGTCCTGCAGGTTGGTTGTATGGCTTTGGCAAGCACTGTGCTGGGTGGCGTGGGCGAGGTGTGGCCTCAGGGCCTTGTGCTTTGGCTCAGCATTAAAGCAAGCCCTCCCTGACCAGCTACAGCCTTTGGCCGAGCCCGCGCTGGCTGGCTGGTTGTTAATCCCTCTGATGTCCTTCCTCTCCTTCACCTCGCCACAGCTTTTACTTTCCCCTCTTCAGTAGGGGAAGGGGGCAGCAAGGAGGTGGTGAGGGCTGGAATAAGAGCATGTCTCCCGCATCCCATCCTGCCTGT